ATATGTCTTTGAGGGGTGGCCTGCTTCCAATATAGGGGGACACTGGAAAAGCTTGTTTGCTTCTCAACAAGTGGGTCTAGATCCTGCATCTGGCACATCACCCAGCCCTCGGTGCTTTGGACTCAGGCCAGGGGCCTGCTGTATTGCCCGTCAGTCTCAGGAATCATCATCAGCCATAGTACCTACCAACCTGGGATTCAGTCTCTCTACTTCCAGAAGTCTGACCTGTGACCTTGGGATAAACAGCCCCTGGAGTTTTGCAAGTCAAGAGAAGCATCCAGGCTGACACCTGACCCTCAGAGGTGTACCTTGCCATCCTCTATAACTGTGTGAGTCATGTCTTTGATATAATTCTCTCTCTATAGTACTAAGGAGCAAAAAATGTCACTTTGAGGACTAAGGTCCTCTTGATCCAAGCCATGGTATTTTCAATGGCCTCATAAGCTTGTGAAAGCTTGGCCATTTAAAAGGTTGAAAAAGAATTAATTCCTTTAAATTATGATGCTGGTGGAGACTATTGTAAGTACCACGGAGTGCAGAAAGAACAAACACATTTGTTTTGGAAGATGTACAGCCCAGAATGTTCCTTAGAAGCAAGGATGGGGCGATTTCTCTCCTCGTTGGATGTGTTATCAAGAAAGGCCAGTCCCCAGGGAAGGACTTCATGCTTGGTGAAGGAGAGGGTCAGCAAAACTAGGGAGCCCCTCAAGATGACTGAGAGTGTGGCTCAAACACCCACGGTCTGGGCCTAGGCAGTGTTTTGGTCTGTTGTGCACAGGGCCGCTGTGAAGATGAGCCGAGTGGACGGCGCGTAGCCACGATGTGTGTACATGTAGACGGTCCACTGCTGTTACTTCTTCAGAGAACACAGCCTAAGTCACATACCCAGTCCACAGCCCTTGGGGATTAAATGAGACAACGCATGTAAAGGGGGTTAGGACACTGGAGACACTGCTCAACGAATATTATTACTATCTCTATGATTGCACCATGGAGGGGAATAACTTCCCAGAGTATTCCTGGACTAGATCCAGCGCACAGTAAAGCTGCTCCCTCTCGCATGTCAGACTTCATGCCTGGGACTTCAGTGGAGTGAGGCCCAGGCAGTGGGGACATATCAGAAGCATCCTCAGAGCCAGTGAAAACCAGCCTCAAATCAAATAGTCCACTGACCCACTGAGATGCTGCACCATCATGCTGAGGAGGGGATGGGTTGATAAGAGAGATTCTTGTTTTGAGCAAACTACCATTTTTCATTTGTGCTTGAGATTCCTTGCTAAAACAAACAACAAAAATAACCAAAATATTACCCTTCGGCACTCACTAGCCAGGATAGTCTCAGACTGTCATGTGTACATTTCTTCTCCTCTAATCTTGAGAAACCTGGGCAGGCCCAAGTAGAGAAGGCAGGTGTTTCAGGAATCACCATGCACAAGCCAGGAACCCTGCTTGACCCCAGACCCAGAAGGTCCTAGTCCCTTTGCCCCTTATCTGCTGATTATCCTCATCTGAGAACTCGGCCAGGAGCCCTGGCACCATGGTGGGTATGCAGTTGGACTGTGAGCCTAAAGGTCGGCAGTTTGAAACCAACAGTCTACTCTGGGAGAATTGGAGAAAGAGTTAAACAGTCTCAGAATCCCTCAGGGGGTCTCTATGGGTCAGCATTGACTTGATGACAGTGAGAGTGAGGGGTTCACTAAAGGGAGCCTGAGTGGTATAGTGGTTACGTGTTGGGCTGTTCATCACAAGGTCAGCAGTTTGAAACCACTAGCCACTCTATGGGAGAAAGATGGGGCTTTCTACTCCTGTAAAACGTTACAGTCTCAGAAACCCACAGAGGCAGTTCTACTCTGTGAGTAGAGTTGACTTGGACTCAGTGGCAGTGAGAGTTTGAAGAACTCAGCTAGCAAAATGGGCTGGGGGGAAGGAGAGCTGCAGTTCACAGGAACTTGAAGAGTAGAACACAGACGCTGGAAACTTGCAATCAGGTAAGATTAGGGGTCAAGAGATGGAAATCAATGTAGGATGATGGGGACAGACGAGGGAACTCAGGTACAAAGAAATGAAGAGAACAAATGACCAAAACTGGGGTGTAAGGAGGTTTGGCTGCATGCACAAAAGCCCTGTTACTAGAGCTGCAGCCAGCAGTGCCTGAGCAAGCTGGCTGACTTAGGACCTAGTTCCTTAGATTCTCTCAGAATGGCCGAGGAGGGCTGGGATCGCATGAGGATCAAGTTCCTTCGTAGCAAGGCTGGGACTTAGGGGGCAGCCCATATAGAGGAAGAAGCTGGCAGGCCATTTATCAGCTAAGCATTTAACAAGCTACGCTTTTTACAGAGGATTTTTGTTTCAAGCTTTGAAATTGAATGACATTTGTCCTGCTGAGTTTTGGATTTATTTTGGACTGGAGACCCCTTCTTTCCCTCTAATTTCGCCCTTTTAGAATCAAAGTCAGTTCTGTGCCTGTACCACTGCTGTATTTTGGTGGTAACTTGTATCCGGGCTTCATGGGTCACCCATACGTGATGCAGAAGTCACGATTTTTTAAATGTAAGAGTCCATGCTAACATGGGTTGGGACTTTAGTGTATGCTGGAATGGGGTGGAAGTATTTTGCACGTGGGAAGGACATGACTTTGGGGGTCAAAGGGCAGGACTTTATGGGTTGAGATGTGCTTCCCAACAAGATCTGCTGCAGCCCCAAACCCCAGAATCTGTGACTATGACCTTGTATGTAACTAAAGGCGTTAAAGACGCTATCGGTTTACACAGGCCCTACCAGTGTAAGGTGGGTCCTAATCTCATCTGAGTGGTGTTCTCCTAACACACTTGAAAGGACAGAGACGGACCAACAGACCGAGGACAGACAGACATGCAATGCATGCACATACCAAGAAATGTCTGAGACTCCCAGAAGCGCAGGGAGCCACGAATCTTCTCTCCGGGGCCTCAGGATGAACGCCACCCTGCCGTCACCCTGACTTCAGAACACTGAGAAAACAGATTTATCCTTAGAAGCTGGACCATTGGTGGTGTTTTGTTGTGCGAGCTCTGTGAAATGAATAGAGTTGGGGCGGCTTACCCTTGTAAATCCTAGGACCCGCAAACAGCCCTTTGCCACGCTCCGGAGGAGTCCGAGGCTTTCAATTCGCAGAAGCTCCGGGAGAAGCTGATTTGGGTTCTCCTCCCGACATCCCCCTCGAGATGGTATCTCATTTCTGTACCACGCAGGGCTTCTCGTGGCTTCCACCCCTGCTCAGAGTTGTGTTTCCATCACAGAACATGCATTTTAAGAAGGCCAGAAGGTACCTTCTTCAAGGTATGAACCTAGGAAGATACACGGAGGAGAATCACCTGGTGTAGACTTGATTCAGTATATCTGGGGTTGGGGGTGGGCGAAGGATGGAAAGACTAATTCTCTGCAGGGGGTCAAACCAGACCAAACTGGTTCAAAGTCCTGATATCAAAGAAGGTGGAACCCTCCTGCACCCCACCCCCACCCCCAGCCAGCCCCAGGCCCACAGAGAGCTCACCATCCAGATGAGAAGGAGGATCCATGTATTTTAAGTGAGAGAGAGGCTCAAGGAGCCCAGAGCAACACTCGGCTCTTCCTGTCCTGGGGCATAAACCCTTTGGCTCAGCCAGTTTCAGAGGGAGTCAGCAGTGTGGGAAGCTGCACGGCGAGTGCCTTGCATGCACTGTCTCATTTATTCCTCATCTGAGTCAGAGGAGGAAACAGGTTCAAACGAGGCCCAAGCTAGTAACCTGGTCCCTTCAGTACCATCACCTGGAGGTCCCAAATCCATTTGCGGGCTCCACACGTGGATTACGCCTCCTGGAGTTCTCTAAGAGCATCGTCCAGGGATGGAAACAGAGAGCACTGTAAAGTCAACTATGGCCAATGTAGACAGGTGAAAGTTTCACACCTTATCTTTTTGCCTAATTTTAAAGTTTCCCACTTTTAATAATTTCTTTCTCTTCGAATGAGGTTTTTCTAGTCGTTGTTGTTTGTTTGCTTCCTGTGTGTGTTTTACGTGAGTTTCTGTACAGGAAACCCAGGAGGGTAGACGTGTAGAGACAGTCACTGGATTAACAATGACCCAGGGGCATGGCGGGGGAGGAGGGGGAAATGGGAAGCTAGCAACAATGAGTAGAAGAAAATGGTCTTAAATTGATTGCAGTAATGATTCCACAATTCTTCTTAATATGATTGAACATTTAACTCGTATACGTAGGGGGTGGGGGGAAGCCAACATGTGACCCCAGAATGGTGTGACGCAAAGGCTGAAGTCTCAAACGTGAGGCTGCCCTACAAATCCCGAGCACTCCCTCCTCTTGGGGGGAGTGGTCAGTCTCTTCAGCAGGTGGCTCGTTCACCCTCTCCGCTGCCTTCCAAGCATCTTGGTGTATTTCATTGTCTTATAATGTCGAAGATTGTTTTCCCCCATCCTGGTGTTCTTGCTACCATCATAGCTGCTGGGCAAGAGCTGAAGGAATTGGACAAGTCCTCATCAGGGCCCAGAAAGATCACTTTTTTGAAATGGCATCGCCTCTAGTTAGGGCGATGGACAAGCCCCCACAGCCTCCCCAGCATGCACTGGGCCAAAACTCGGCTTGCATCTCGCTTGCCTCTTTGATCTTCATGCGGGATTAGAGACATTGGATTTGATGTTTGTGTGCACCTGGGGGTACACGCACACTGTGTATAGTGGCTCATAGCAGAGGAGACCCCTTTCTGCTGTCTGAAGCAGACTACTGATGTCTTGAGTGCCCTGGCTCCAGCGATCAACACTCCGCAAGCATATTCTTCTTGTGGCACCTTGACTCACTGCCCTGTTACCCCATGCGACCCCCAGGGTTTCCCGTGGGGCCCTGAGACTGTGTTCCCAGAGCACGAGGGGAGCCTCTCCTCCACGTGAACAGCCAAGACCCTGCCCAACTCGAGTACGGTGAAGGTGAAGGTGAAGGTGACCAGTCCAAGGGCATAAATGAGGCACACACTTGTTGTCAAATACTAATTTATTAATAAGTTTACTCTTTACTCATAAAAAAGAACCTATTTTTGGCTTTGAAATCATGACAGAAAATGTAAAAAGCAAATATCTGCAATTATCAGCTGAAGGTAGGTAGGAGCCACTCATGCAGAGGCTGCGTGCTGCGTGCTGGTGCGGGGGACCCGTGAGCGCAAGCAGCCAACTCAGGAGACCCACTCCTCTCTACGCCACCTGCCCCTGGAGGCCGGGCAGGCCCTTCTTTCGCCACCGAGATGGGGCCAGCCAGCCAGCCTGCCTGCCATTCCCCCCCCCGGCACGGAGTGGCAGGCACCGCAGGCGGTGCGTCCTGATGCTGTCCGTCCAGAGTGCAGGAGGGTGGTGGTGGCCTTGCTTTTGCGTGCTTACTCTACATATTGTCAACCCTCGGAGGAAAGAAAATAAACCTGCTAGGGTCCGCTGGGCCTGCGAGGCCGGTTCTATTTGTGGTCGGTGAGCTGTTGGAGGCAGAGCTTCATGTAGGCGTTTTTGTTGCGGATCTCCATCACGGCGTCCCGAACGAGCTCAATGAACATCTGCGGCCACAGCTTCTGCAGGGCCTCGTGTTTCATGTTGATTTCCATGGCTTCCTTCACCAGGTCGTCGATGTACATCTTGCAGAATTTCTTTTTTTCCTTTATTTCCTGTCGGAAAAAGAAAATGCCACGTTCAGGGCCAGGGCTACCAGGAGGGGAACGAGAGCCACTCAGGTGGCCTGCCCTGACCCCCTCTCCCCATGCAGGTCGGTCCTCCTGCCCCCTCTTCAACACACTCCCAACAGGGCGCAGGCTCACGGTCTAGTGGCTCAGTGGGCGACATGTCCGAAAGCTCACCTCAAGGCAGCAGGCTCAACCCCACCAGCCGCTCCAGGAGACAAAGAGGAGGCTGAAGGCTTTGCAGTCTCCGAAACCCACGGCGGCTGTGCTCCTCTGACCCTGCGTCAGGGTGGCCGTGCGTCAGAATCGACTGGGTGGTGGGGGTTGTTTTGTTTTTGACTTCCCAGCCTGCATCTACTTCCACCGCACAGCTCTGCTTTCTGCAGCGGGAGCGCTGCTTCCTAGGGGCTGTTTCCACCTGAGCAGACGCTCCGTCTTCAGTTCGGGATTTTAGCTCATGCAAGCCAGTGAAGGCCCAGGCCTCTGTGCGCGCTCAGTGAGAGATGGATCAGGCAACTAACTGATCTTGACCATTTTACTTGGCATCAGGTCAGTCAATATCCACACACATACGTTAAATGCTCTGAATTCACTATTATAGGACAGAGTCAGGGGTGGGGCTCAGCCGATTCACGCCAGTTTGGCAGAAACAACCTAATTTTTTGTTGAGTTTGGTGAAGCACTTGTTAAAAATCACACTTGTAATTGGGGTTCTCTCTAAAGTGGGAGCTGGGCAGCCGCCCAATGTGGAAATCACAAATTTACATTCCTTACTTTTTTTATTGGTTCATTCACTTTGTAAAATTCCTTTTACTTTTGATGAAATGCTACCTTTTTATTCCTTTGTGCTTGTTATTTCAGTAAACATACACATACAGAGAAAAAGTGTCACACATCCAGAGGGCAGCTGCCATTCGTTTCGGTCACCATCCAATACTTATTATTGAGTGACACAGTCACTCGATATTTATTACTGAGTAATGTGGCTATTCAAGATGTATGCGGGTTACCCAGACCTTTGGGAAGTGGTTGTCATAATACACGCAGGAAGATCAGTGGAATGGATCTAGTCATTAGATTTGTAAATTAAGTAGTTCACAGCAATGAGGAGGAAACAAAATATCAATGGTACATTTAGCTCCCAGGAAAAAGATCTATTTCAACTTCCAACGCATATCAAAACCCCAAAATAATTTCAAGATGAGCTAAAGGGTTGAATTTACAATATCAATAAATAGTGCGTTAAATGCAATCTTAGGAAGGTTTGTAATAGCAAGTAACATGCTTACACTAAAAGCTAAAAGTGAAAATTTCAAAAAGCAAAGTGAACACACCAGTAGGTGAAAACACATAGGATTGTTTTGACAGAGCTTTGGTTACCTGGCATGTGAATGTGTTTAAACTCAGCAATTGTATGACAAACATTTGTCTCATCGTATATTAATTTTGGCTCAAGAGAAACATGGCATCAAACAGTACACTGTGAACTCTAGTTGTGGCATGCTCTGCATGCTGGAGTGTTTAGGAAGAGCTGTACGCATGCGTGCAGTCATTCTCTCCTTGCCCGTCGTCAGCCTGTGTGTCTCCTCGCAGATGCTATGACTGCTACTACGATTGCAGGTTGCACACGCAATTGTTTTCACATTTATTCTCTTTGACTCGCGCGCTTCCCAGTGGTCATGTGGCGTTGTCGTCCCTTTAGTTTGTATTGCCTTTCCCTCCACCCATCATTAAGCGTCTGTTAATGGTGAGTCCACACTGTCATTAACTTTCCCGATGTGGCCTAGTGGTGATGTGTTGGGCTGCTAACCATAGGTCAGCAGTTTGAAACCACCAGCCTGCTCCTCAGGAGGAAAGACGGGGCTTTCTACTCCCATAAAGAGTTACTGTCTCAGAAGCTCATGGGGACAGTTCTACCCTGGCCTATAGGGTTGCTCTCGGTCAGCATCAACTCAAGGGCAGGGAGTGAGTGTTCACCCTCTGTACCCTGCCTGTCCCTCCCTATTTTCCATCAAAGAATGTTTCTCTCCACATGTAAACCTTTCCTTGACTTCTTATAGTGATGGCATCACACAACATTTGTCCTTGCATGACTGACTGATTTCTCTCAGCATGACATTATTTATTTGGAAATAAAAAGCTTATTTATCATTTTGAAATTGATTTATTATTTGGAAATGAACAAAAACTAAGAGACTGATGGATAGAGACAGTCAGAATGCAGAGCTATGTGATAAAATAAGTAGCCTCATTGTATAGTACAATATTAATTCTAGGATCTAAGGTTTTGAGTCTATGGATATTTATTGTAAAATTCTTTCAACCTCACTGTGTACAATTTAATGAAAAATTTGGCAAACGTGTACAGAAAACTATTGGAAACAAATATACTGGAGTGTTAAGACTGTCTTTGGGTCATGAAACTATGATTGTTTTCCACATTTTCACCTCTTAAAGTTTTTAAAAAATGATTTTAAGGCAATATAATATATTAATCATACATAATTGATTAATATAAGTTAACAACAAGTCCCAAGTATCTTTCTTTCTCTATAAAGAGGCATATTTTGGAAATTTTCTTAGGACATGAACTTTGGTCTAAATCATCAGTTACTATTCAAAGTCCACATGTTTGGTATGATGTGCTAACATCATGTGTTGACCTATAATAAAAATAGGTACAGAATTTGAGAGCTTATAAAAAACAAATGGTTCCAGCTGTCTACTTCTCAGATTAACCGAACTTCCTGAACTCTGAAATGCACCCAGGACTTAGTAGTGAAGTGAGCCTGCGGATGACGACACCGGTACCTGTTCTCTCTGAACGCTCAGCATCTCCGGCCTGCACAGAGGCAGGAAGAAGGGTAAGTGCGCGTCACTGGGGGGGAGGGGGGGCAGTAAACAAAAAAAAGCAACATTATACAGTGAGCAAAGAAAGCAATTATTACCAGCAGAGGGAAAGAATATATTCAGAGAATGTTTCTAAGTTCCCTAAGACAGGATTTTGAACAACACAAAAATTAAAACCACAGAGTTGTTCAAGTGTTAAGACTAAAAAAAATGGTAATCGAGAACCAAAAAATAAGTAAATAAAATCATTTGCAGGGATGCATAATGTTAAATACTCGAACGCAAATTAAACTGTTCAAAAGTGACATTGCGCAATTGCTGTTGCTGTACAGTTCCGTGCTATAGTTCCTTCCATTCTCTCCTTGTAAACATGTTGATACAGCATTGTATTTGCAATAACCCTTAATTTAGTAACTGTGCTTGATAGCTTTTATACCTCATCAGTTCTCTCCTCCAAGCTAATTACTCCTCTCTCCCAGGACAGCTCGCTCTGACCATCCAGCATGAGCCTGTTAGGAGCACATGCTCGCTACTTTTCTTGCCCTGACCCGTCATAGAATTGGTGTGCCTTGGATAAAGCTTTTTCTGTTCTCAAATGCTTTCGTATGCTTGTTTTTTTTAAATCCCACAATACTACTGTGGGATTCACAAAGCAAGAATTTTGTAAGTTCAACCCTGATGAGAACAACTCTGGACAAGATTATTTATATGACTGCATCATAGTATTGTGATGATGGTTTGGAAAAAATGGAGGTCAAAGGTAGGTTTGGTACAGAATGATTTTGACTGGCGCTTGCACTGGGACTTAATCCACGCCTCCGCTTGATGATGGCTCAGAGACGCTCTCAGGACTAGACTCCGTTGACTAAATACTTTCCGACAGACAACCCCTTGCTCGTCTACAAGGTGGCTGCAGTCGCGTTATCCAGATGGCTTGCGCTGTACAAATAAGCTGGACAAACTAGTCAAGGGCTGGCCGAGGTGTTTAGACAGAACACAGAATCGAGGGAGCCTTTTGCATGAGGGTGGTCAAGAAGGCTTCCGGGAAGCCGCACCCTGACTCGTGAAAGAGTCCAAGTCAAGAGCCAGAAGGCCTGCGTCAATACCTCACCACCTGGACTAAGGGTACTAAGGGTACTCTACCTGGACTCCCAGCTTTCCTCACCTGTATGGCAGGATTTGAGTGCTGACGGCCTCTTTAGCTCTCTGGTTCAATGCTCGTATTCAGTATTGTTTTAAGGCTGAATCAGTAAATTGGATGGACAGCTAGCATGCAGCTCACTCAAACTCCCTGCCATCAATCGGTGCCGACGCATGCCACCCTATCGGACAGGGCAGAACTGCCCCTGTGGGTTCTGAGACTGTCACTCTTCTCAGGAGTAGGAAATCCCCATCTCTCTCCCAAGGAGCAGCTAGCGTGTTGAACTGCTAACCCTTTGGATTGCAGCCCCGCTCACCACCATGACGCCACCGGGGCTCTCAGCAAGCCACAGAATGGGACGTACGCAACGCAAGTGTCTGCGAACCCCCATTTGTGAGGCCAACCTCACTTAACTGCCACCAGTCAGGACAGACAGAAGAGAGGCGCTGGGTACTTTGTGCCCACATGGGTTAAATACTTTTAAAGAGGCAAAGGGCATGGTATAGTGGAAGAAAGGCTGGGTTGCAAGACGAGAGAGAGTGATTAAGAGACATGGCCAAAGTTCCCAGGTCATAAAAGGTAAGATCAGAGGCCCAGAAAAACGATGTTTTCTGATTGTTAGTCCGATATCCTTTCCAAAATGTTCAGGTGGGTTCAGATTCTCTGGAGTCGTTCCCTGTCGCAGTGCCCCAGTGGGACAGAGGCGCATGCCCTGGAGCTTTGCAGGGTGTACGTCTTTACAAAAGCGGCAGCCAGCTCTTTCTCTAGGAAACGACTGGTGGTTAGCAGCTGAGGGCTTAACCGCTATCCTACCGGGGCTCCTATTAATTAGCCACAGCTTTATAATAATACCTCTTATCTGGTAAGGCACTTTCTCCTTATCTTTTTACTCTGCTAAATAGTTCATCCTTTGCTCTGTCATAAATTTTAGGATCAACTGGTGAAAATTCCAGAAATACCCTTGTTCAAATCTTTATTACAACTGCTTTCTAGTTAT